TGGTTCGTGAGGAACGTCGACCTACACGACGACCTGGGCCTCGAATCGATCCGCAAACACGTGAAGTCAGCGTCGGAACGTTACTTCGATAAGGCTATGCGTCATGATAATCGCCTTATCGTTGCCGCCGCTGACTACTCCCCGAATCCTGATCACGCAGGAGCAAGTCACCGTCGTCGCCCTAGACACGTCCTTACGGATCCATCAGATCCAATAACTCTTGCATTAGATACCTTCAGCTCTAACACTAGGAGCAGGCTGAGGAACCCCGGTAACCGTACTCGTCGAACTCGACAAAGAGATCGACGTGCAGCCTAACCCATGCATCATCCCGCTGAGTTTCTCGCCGGATCTTCTCAGTGGGTCGCGATTCCGATCCGGTAGTAGATTCATTCGCGAAGCAATTATTCTTGAGTTGTTAGGTCTCCTTCGGAGGCGCTCGGGCAGTTGTTAACAAATCCCACCCCTCCTGGCTGAGCCTTTGCTCGCCCACCTGTCCTGGTGAAGCTGGAAAGGCTTCCGGGCCACCAGTAATCTTTCAATCATAAAAAAAAAGAAGTAGGCACGATGGTGATATCGACCCGTGCAAACTCACAAGACGTCCTACCACCAGTACTTCTTGACTAAGTAATGCGATCCTACAGTTTTAACAGGTATATATGGGTAGACGTGCTCACGACTGGAATCAATAGAGACTCTGATATGTATGTATGTGATCGCCATCTTGAAACATTACGATAGTCTCAATGGCTGTAAATAAATACTGAATAATAATTCTGGTAATCAGTCTTTGGAGCTCATTTTCATTTCAATGCAATATGAACTTTATTATTCAGACGATACATTTGATCTTTGCATACTCGTCAAGCGATAAATCGGGCAACGCGGTCCTGATTTCGAGAATTTTTATTATACATTGTTTGTTCGCGTTGATCTTACGACGTCTCGTTAAATATGCAAAATTGGTATTTAAAAATAAATAAAAAAATGTAAAATAATATTCAAATATTGTCTTATCATCAATCATCAAATATTGTCTTATCATCGCTCATCTATTTAATAAAACTTGAAGCAATTAAACTTTGTACCCCTTTTTACGAAAATTGCGCCGACGAAGTAGTATGAAATTTCCCACACTTATAGAGAATATTATAGAGAAGGAGTGCAGAATGTTAATATTTTTTATTGTGCATAAAAAAATACATTAAATAAATAAATAAAACATTACACTACCGTGTTATTGACACACACGCGCATGCATAGTGCATACTATTTGTTTATTCTCAAACTTTTCTTATTGCTTATAGTCTGCGGTCAAATTGAGAAGAGATTAGATGTTGTTTGTCTTTATTAATATTTGTCTAAAGTGTAGTCTTGGCGAAATCTGTGATTATAGAAGTATAATAAATAGTATTTGACAATAGAATCATAATAGTGTACAAATTTATAATTTCAACCATTTATAGTCGAATTTCGACTACCAGGACCACTAGTTGTCAAAATTTTGTTAATGTTCAAAGTCTGTCGTCAAATCGAGAATAGATTAATATTGTTTGTCTTTAATATTATTTGTCTATAGTGTGGTCTTGGCGAAATCTGTGATTATAGAAGTTGCCATAATAATGTTCAAACTTATAATCTATACTAATATTATAAAGAGGAAAGATTTGTTTGTTTGTTTGTTTGTTTCGAATAGGCTCCGAAACTACTGGACCGATTTGAAAAATTCTTTTTCCATTAAAAGCCGACATTGTCCCTGATGAACATAGGCTACTTTTTAATTTTTTTTAATTATTTTTTTTTGGTTTCGTGTGTGTTTTAATGTTTCCGAAGCGAAGCGAGGGCGGGTCGCTAGTTTCAAATAATTGTAGTCGAATTTCGACTACTGAGGGACCACTAGTAAAAATAATTTTTCGTCTGTGAACCAACAGAGTTGTGCTAATAATAATGCGGTTCTGAATTTGCACTGCCCTCTCCCCTGCACTAGCGACGTCATGTGCACACACCCTAACCCGCTGATCTGACGGACTGACTCCGATAAAACGATTGACTGACGACGAATGTTTAAAAATTACCATTTAATTACACTGATGATCGATCAAATGGTAATGATTCGGATGTTACTTTAAGGGTTCGAAGGGTGGGGTAGCCGTTGTAACTATACTGAGACCTTAGAACTTATATCTCGAGGTGGGTGGCGCATTTACGTTGTAGACGTCTATGGGCTCCAGTAACCACTTAACATCAGGTGGGCTGTGTGCTCGTCTATCCATCTAAGCAATAAAAAAAAGGGAATTATTACGGATATCGGCAATACCAGACGTGGAATAGAGAGTAGCTGTTTACAGGCAAAAACTTTAAAAAATGTCATAATGATGATTGAAGTTTAGTTCATGGCAGATAGTATGAGTAAAAAGATTAATCCTTGAAATAGTATAACAGTTTATCGACATTGCGTTTCCAAATATCTTATTTGCCACATACCATATCATACAATCCGGCTTTGGAATGAGCTCCCCTCCACGGTATTTCCCGAACGCTATGTCATGCCCTTCTTTAAACGAAGCTTGCGGAGAGTATTCAATAGTAGGACTTGACAGTGCTCCCTGGCATTGCTGACGTCCATGAGCAACGGTAACCACTTACCATCAGGTGCGCCGTATTCTCGTCTGCCTACAAGGGCAACACACAAAAATAGTAAATGTATGGCCCCCCTGATGGTGAGTGGTTACCGTCGCCCATGGACGTCAGCCATACCTGACACAGTGAAGGCACTACCTTCCGTATATAGTTCGAGATTGGGAGTTGTTTCTCTAGTACTTGTGTGGTCAAATATAATCTAGCTGTTTTTATGGTGTGGTTCACAGAGAACAGTACTAAGCGAATTTTTGGTCAGTACTCAATAATGCAGCCGCGTTCTAGTTCAGTCGTGTTTATTTGATAAATAGGTATATTAACTGTTTACGCAGCGGATACATACTTGATTTGATTAATAGCAAACCCTGAATTTCTTGGCGATTCTTGCCAGTGACGAGACTGGATTTCGCTGTGAAGACATAGCGACTTGGAAGTGCCTGCGAAGGCCTGCTTATATAAAAATTACTGATGATAGGACGTCTTGTGAGTCCGCACATGTAGGTACCACCACCCTGCCTATTTATGTCGTGAAACAGTAATGCGTTTCGGTTTGAAGGGGAGGCAGCCGTTGTACTGTAAAACTGAGACTTTAGAACTCAACATCTCAAGGTAGGTGGCGGCATTTACGTTGTAGATGTCTATGGGTTCCGGTAACCACTTAACACCAGTTGGGCCGTGAGCTCGTTCACCCATATAAGCAATAAAATTAAAAAAAAACTTTTATTAACATTACAACGGGCTGAGGAGCACGCTACTAACGAACAAAAACACTCCATCAAATATCTTCTTTACAATCTATACTAATATTATAAAGAGGAAAGATTTGTTTGTTTGTTTGTTTCGAATAGGCTCCGAAACTATTGGACCGATTTGAAAAATTCTTTTTCCATTAGAAGCCGACATTGTCCCTGATGAACATAGGCTACTTTTTTTTATTTTATTTTTTGGTTTCATGTGTGTTTTAATGTTTCCGAAGCGAAGCGAGGGCGGGTCGCTAGTTAATTATAAGTCCGTGATTCGTAATCTAAAAAATGTTCGTAACAAGTCAATTCGTACTTACATTATGTGGACTTGGGAGATTTGTAGGAAACGTACCTACAATGTGTGCTTACGATACGTAATGTATTTTATGTGTTTGTAACCCTAAATTCAGTACGCTAGAGTTTATTATTTAATAAAACAACAAAAAAAAACTTTACAACCGCTTAAATAAAGAACTGTTAGTTTAAATCAATTTTATTTATATTAAAACATTTTTTTTTATTTCATTATAATGTATAAACCGTGGGATTGTTTTGTGAGATAAATACGAACATTTGTAGTACTATTATATAACCCACGATTTTCCTACGACATCAATAATTATCAGATAATATTCCTCCAGAATCGAACGGTGGTATAACTTTTATTTATTTATTGCATAGAGGTGGGCGAGCTTATAGCCCACCTGGTGTTAATTGGTTACCGGAGCCCATAGACATCTACAACGTAAACGCCGCCACCCAGCTTGAGATATGAGTTCTAAGGTCTCAGTTACAACGGCCGCCTCGCCCTTCAAACCGAAACGCATTACTGCTTCACGGCAGAAATAGTGATACCCACCCGCGCGGACTCACAAGAGGTCCTACCACCAGTATAACTGCATGATGCGTATACACATGGTTTTTGGTTAGGCCTCGAACGTTTTAATGTTCATGAATGCTCACGTAGCTTAGCAACATCGGTATAAATGATTTTTAGATAGAAATCTGTCTTACTATCTGATACCACCGCCTTGCCTGTTTCTACGCGAAGAACGCTGAGGTCAATGGGCTCGTAGCTCACCACTTAAAGCTTGGTGAGCCGTGATCAGTTTGTTTTTCTTTAAGCTACCACAATCAAAGCATTTGTAGTTCTAGATTCTTCTAGAACTTTAAAAGACTTCAAATTGATGTTTGAAAATTTCATTAGCGCAATTCAGTTTGCAAAAATTTTTAAAACTTATCTTATGTGGGAAATTACACAAAATTCTTAAGAATATTATAGGTTTTATGTTATGGCCTTTCTAAGTAACCTAGCTAGCATACGGCTCACCTGATGATGAGTGTTTACTATGGCTCATGATCATTAGCAATGCTTGAAGCACAGCCAAGTATTACATGTTTCACATTACTATCACTGTCTCAGATATATTTCAGTCAACGTGAAATTTTAATATGACTTCATAATCACAATTCAAATAAATAGCTGGCTTATAGCATAATAAAGTACATTGTTTTTCTAAAAATTTTAAACTAATAAATATTATTTAGGACACGAATAAGACTAATACTATTTTTAATAAAACAAAATATTAAAATAAATTTAATATTATTATTACTCACCTAAAACTTTACGTCCAACCGGCAGAAACGACACGAACACATAACACACAAAAACAAAAAAACAAAAAAAAACAAAAAAAAAATAATTAAGAACACAATTTGAAATTTAAACAATAAACACAAAAAATTCCGAACGAAAAAAATAAATTCGAAAACTAAAACATCCTTATTCTGTAAAAAAAAAAGTTCGAAAGTCGAACGCGCGTTTAAGCTCCTTCGATATAAGGGACGAGCGCTCCCTACGGCCAACGCGAGGACTCTGCCGGAATGACCGACTCGGGGATACTGGGACAGGGAGCTCTTTGATAAGACTAGAGCAACATGAGTTAGCTGCTTTCAGACTACGCTATACTATACTGCCATATAGTTTAACCTGTACTGAACCAATAATATATAGTACAGTACAGTGTAAACGTGTCCTTAACAATGTATGATACGCGATATTGTTGTGCTATGAGCTATAAACTATATGCTATTATATTATAGCGTAGTCTGAAAGCGACTATTTGAAAAAAACTCTCATCAAACGAGTTTTGCTATTTTGACAGTTTTTGCCTTGTAAATGTGACAAGCTATTTGAAAATTAAATTGAATATCCGCCTTGAAATCACTAGCTTTTTTTTGTGTTTTTTCCTACCTAAGCTGATGGTCATTAGAGACCATTTCAGCGTAACAAGTAGGTGAGCTCACGGGGCTCAAGCCTGATGATGTTGCTAACACTAACCCTAGCAAGAGTCGCGCTTCGCAGAATCTACCACCGGATCGGAGTGCGACCCACTGACAAGATCCGGCGAGATAATCAGTGGGTTTCCGTGTTTACTAATGGAAGGTCTTAAAAATTTCGAAGATCTTCCAAATTTTCTATAAACAAATTTAATTCTGTATTTTTTTTATTTCCTTTATAGGCAAACGAGCATACGGCCCACCTGATGGTAAGTGGTTACCGTCTCTCACGGGCGCCAGCAATAATGGGGTCGCCGCCTACATTAAATTTTTATAGCTGTTTTTAATGACTTTAGTGTTAGTTAAGTAGTTACTTTCACTATCCTGTCTACTTAATACCGCCAAACAGTCTTCGATCAGATTTGAAAGATAGAACAGACATTATATACTATACAATTGAGACTTCAACCCAAAGTGGTGGTAATTTCATTGCCAATATATATTCCGGTAACCCCTTAACTGCAGCTGGGCCGTGAGCTTATCATTGTAATTAAAAATCCTAGTGTATAAACTTATTAATATTTTTATCCACTACCTATATGTATACAAACGTACAGGAATATTTTTTTTGACATATTTATTGGTAGAGTTTTTTTTAAACATTATTGTTTTATTTCCATCATCATCATCATCAGCCTACGGTCGTCCACTGCTGATCTTGGGCCTCTCCCAATACACACCCTTAATATTGTTTTATTAAACATACATGATCATCGAAATTGAAAACAACTCTACATTATTATAATAAAGAGCCTAAGCTCACCATTGAATATTTATTTTAACGCCATCTAGTATAACATGGATACACTAATTCGCAAAATAGTTTTCTTCTAAAAAAATTTCCCTTCAATGATCCATAGATGGCGCTAGATTTCAGCAACAAATTTTCACAAACAATAATTTTAATGATATTATTATGATTTAATGGTTTATTTAAATATAATGATAATTAAATACCTATCATAATTTTTAATGATGATCAATTATCAATAATCCTGCAATATTATTTTAAAGTCTTCTGACTAATCTAAGCAAAGTCCTATTAGAAATTGAAAATTGAATTAATTCAAATATCCTCTATGCGTTTCAAGAATGATTTGCGAAAACAAAAAAAGTGGCAAAAACTGCTAAAAAAAAGTCACAGGATATGAGTTACAATCAATAAAAATCTTAATAATTAGATGATAAAGCATTTTACAAGCTTGTGGGCGAATATAGATTTCTTAAGCATTAATGCTATTCTATACATTTTTTTTATACGAAACCATCATGGTTTATTAAGTAGTTGACCAAAATACCTAGTCCGTCTCAAAACCTTCTGGTTATTTTCCTCTAAATTACTACTCATAGCATACTGAAAGCCCGCATGAGAAGATAAGTTCATTTTATCCATATCTATAACCAGGCATGCCTGTGTTCTGCTCTAAAGGATAGAATTGTATTAATACAATACAAATAGGACTTGCGCGTCACATCTCAAAGCGGCATTCACATTATTTTTGAGCTTTTGCAACAGCTCCAAACAAAAACTCTGACAAACTGATTTTCCATCACCATGTCCTTGTTGAAGATTTCCTTACAAGGGTGAGCCAAGGCAGTCATAAGTGGAAACAACTTAGATTATTAAAATTCCATAAAACTTTATAGAGTCGTAAAACTTTATTTTGACGATTTATCAATTTATTTGAGGCATCCCTAAACTATATTGGAGTACGTAGTTCTTATTTTTGTATCAAATTAATGATGACCTCTGCGACTGACTTTTCAAAGAAAATATCTAAGTACATGTGCTAATTCTAGCGAAAAGCAATGTGAGACTGGACTAGTAGCCTTCTCTAGTGTTGGGGACCGAAGGGGTCGGCGAGTAAATTAACCCACAGAGTTTCTCGCAGGACCTTCTCAGTGGGTCGCGTTTCCGATTCGGTGGTAGATTCTGCGAAGCACTGCTCTTACTAGGGCCAGTGTAGCGACATCTCCTGGTTTGAACCCCGTGAGCTCACTTATACGCTAGGGTAACGCTGATATACACTTTCAAGGCTATCAGCATAGGCACGGAAAAAAAGATGGGACTTTTTTTCCTACGTAGTAGCCTCGAGAAGATATTCTAGATTCACCGAGCTAGCAGGTGAGTTCACGGGACTCAAACCGGGAGTGTTGCTAACACTGTCCCTAGCAAGAGCAGTTCTTCGCAGAATATACTACCGGATTGGAAACGCGACCCACTGACAAGATCCAGCGAGAAACTCAGTGGGCTGTGTCTATGGGTTAATTTACTAGTCGAACCCTTCGTCGCGAGTTCGGCGAGGACGGTGACTGGTGCTTGAGGTACCTAAAAGCGCCGTTAATGGATCGGAAGGATCCGTAATGACGTGTTTAAGGCGACCTCGACCGTTTACCATTCGTTCCGCAGGATCTGGTATGTATGAGACCGAAAACCGCTTCAAACCACTACGCCACCAAAATGAAAAGTAAGAAACACTAATTACACAAAAATATAAGAACTATTTAAATACAAAAAAAATAAAACACCAAATTCAGTACGTACATGTTTTATTTAGGTGTTTTTTATTATTACTATTTGGCATTGTTTATTATACTGCAGTAACCAATGGGATAATTCTGATAGCATTTCTGACCTTTGACACGAGAAATAATTATGCATTCACAAGTGCACATAAGACCGTCTGATTACTAATCGAATGTTATGCCAATATCATTTTATTGTCTCGTAATTACCACAAACTGTTTTATAATCCGCATATTTAATTAGGTACATTTTATTTATCCATTCGGTTTATGTAATTTGCATTTTGCTTTTTATTTAACTTTCATTTTTTATATTGACCTTATTTTGATGTAGCCGTTAAATTTGGAGTTCTTTTTTGAGTGAATTCGATGAAGTTTTTTGGGCAGATTACCTTCGTCATTGAGCGGATTAGCTCACGTTGCTTAAGCGCAATAGACATGCCAATGCGATGGAATACATTACGAGATTCCAGTATGAGGTCGAAACCTTAAATGTAATACTGCGATCATAGCTACTATTCCAAGAGACAGGCTTAACTGTTCTGTGCCGTAAATGTAAGGTGGTTACATTTTGTAGTACCATGTGAGCAATGGCCACGAAATATGTAAATTTTTATGTCTGTTTTCAGCTCAGAAAACGTTGTGAAGGGGATTTAATTCGAGAATTTATGTGTTCGAGCAATTCATTTTTTGTGTGAGACTTGGCGTCTCTGGAAAAAGGAATGCAAAAAGATCGAGGCCTTTGAAATGTATTGCTGGAGAAAGCTGCTACGCATTCCTTGGACAGCTATGAGAACCAATGTCTATATCCTCGAAGAGCTGAAGGTCACCAAGCGCCTGCTGACTACGTGCCAGGAAAGGATCCGAAGTTTCTTTGGGCACATAATGCGATCCTCATTGCACAGCCTAGAGAAACTCATAATTCTCGGACAAATGGAGGGGAAGCGCGCTAGAAGAAGAGCGCCAGCTAGAAGTGTGGACTAACTCAAGGAGGTGACTGGAGGCCAGGTACGGGGAGCGGTACATATGGCGCAGAAACGGACCGAGTGGAGAAGATTGACATACAGTTACGATCCTCCGCATTGAGGGAACGACCAGAAAGAAGAAGAAGTTGATAAAAACATGTAACTAGTCAGAATATGTATTTTATTGCCCTGATAAGAATTGCCAGATTTGAGGATACGACTACAGAGAATGCTGTTAAAAAGGGCTAAGCCATAGACTTTATTTGTAGACCTAAAACTGGCATCATTATTGGCATAGTGAAAATATGTTACAGTAGATATAGCTAGATTTAAGTGTAAATATTTAACTTGACTCAATAACGCGAATTGGCCGTTGAATCCCTCAAACATTAATAAGTTTAAGTTGAAATCTTCCAACGAATGTTCCAGATACCTTTATTTTAGTTTTAGCTTCATCATGAAATGACGAAAAAAAAGATATGTGGTGTTGTGGGACACCGGTTATGAACAAAGTTCCTTATTATAAAAATATTAATTTTAAGTTCTATTCGAGGTATTATAATTACGAGGTAGTATAAATAATTATTCGGGTATACATTTTTATCATGATTTTTTTATTGATAAAAATAATAAAAACTACTTTACAAAGTTATCAACTCTATTTTATTCACAGTGATTTATAAAAAATATATAATAATAATATACAAAGAAACAGCTATTTATATGAATAACAATAACCGTCACCACGTAGACTATACATTAGACACTGTATAGCCATCATACTAAGACTATACATAAATAATATAAATCTTACGTTACGGATGTTTTTTCGGGTTAGGGTACCCCTCCGCATCGTCCCTTAGGGAACTTCGTTCCAAAAACACCTATTTAGTAACAGAAGCTTCGAACTGCGAACTGCCTTAGAAAATTCAAGTGAGAGGTTTATATCTTAATGCTTACATTAGCGCGGATGTGTCTATTTTTGCCGCATGCCGTAGTATATACTGTGTTGCGACCGATACGCG